TGGAATTATAAAAAGACAGGTAAAGTTAACAAAGCACTACAAAATGTAAATCGATCAAAGTTATTATTATTAATGCCTATATGCCTTATATACCTATCAGATCTATTGTACCTTTTGCCCTCCAAAAATTTAGGGCAAATGTAGGTCCTTAATGAACCTTAGTATTGCTTCAAGGTCTTGTTACACAGTATATGTTCATCCGTTTTTGATTCGTCGTTTTTTTAAGAATAGACTTCAAAGCTGTTATGACGCATCCATTCTAATTCATCATTGACTGTGCCATCCACAATTATTATATTTCTGACATGATTTCTTTTTTAATTTAATTGTAAGTATTAAAAAAGCAACTCCAGAAATTCCGATGTTGCTAATAANTCAGATCTATTGTACCTTTTGCCCTCCAAAAATTTAGGGCAAATGTAGGTCCTTAATGAACCTTAGTATTGCTTCAAGGTCTTGTTCCTTTATGTTGATAGGTGTCAAAAGCGCTTTACCAAAAATTTTGTGTCTTAGGCAGCCTCTGGCGCCGCAATTACACAGTATATGTTCATCCGTTTTTGATTCGTCGTTGCAAGAACGACAAGTTTGATTCTCAGCTTGTCCAATGTGGAAGAGGTGGTATTTTAGGAGCGGTCAGGAAACCTGAGAGCATCCTTAGATCCCCTTTGCTGAGGCATAAAACCTCTTTGGGTTTGTTTTGCGACGGAGTTATCATACACTTCGCTTGTCTGTGACCTGGAAGTTCTTTCCAGCGTAAGGCTACCTTTGAGGCCTCCCAACTGTTGATTACTTGTTTTAGCTGGCTTTTTTGTAGTCCACAACCGGGTTGGGGTCTAATAAAGGGCGTTTTCGTTGCCTTTTTCGCCAGCTTCTCCTCCTTCTCATTGCTCTCAATGTCTCTGTGACCTGGAACCCACCATAGAGTAACATCATTGCCCCTAACGAGTTCTCTCAGGTTGCTGGTACACTCTGATCAGTGCGAAGTCACAGGTGTAGGCCTGGATTTGCCTTTAGGGCGGCTCGACTGTCTGAAAATATTTATGGACTAACACTAGACCTAGTGACAGTGCTTAGTAGTGCTAACTAGGCACGACAAAGCGCTAGGTTGTGTGTATTGCTATTGAACTAAAACTAGAACTAACTCTAGAACTAGAATAGGGCTAAGCTCGAATGTATCATATATACAGGGTGTTTCATAATACACCTAATTCTGTTTTTACGCGAATTTGATATAACGCGATTAATAAAATATATTTTATTCTTTTTTTACGCGATTTAATTTGATTTAACGCGACGCAAGAAATTTGAATCTAGAATAATTTTGGAACTAAAATTTCGTGTACGTGCAAGTATGTGAATGCGCTTGAAAGGTATATGATTGTGCGAGAATCGATACCCCCTGATTGCGCGAGCGCATCAATAGTTACAGGGGATTTCCCTAATTTTATATCATCTCACATCTGTTTTGGTTAAAATAATTACGAGTTTACAGTTTGGCTTCAATGTTTAAGGTGAGTAACAAAATCGAATACAATATTAAATAAAATATTTTTTGATACATTTATTCTTTACTTACTTATTACGTATAAATAAATAAAATTTTTATAGGCGATCTAATCACAATGTCAGCTACAAAACAAACAAAAAGAAAAGCTATTTCTTTGGAAGTTAAAATCAACATTTTAGATAATTTAGCTAATGGAGATAGTGCCACCACTGTAGGGCAACGTTTCGGTTTAAGAGAATCCACCGTAAGAACTATAAAAAAAAATGAGGACGCGATTAGAAAATCTGTAATTGCTGGGACAAAATTAAGTGCTCATACAACATCATACACAAGAGACATTGTGAAGCAAAAAATGGAAAAGGCTCTTGTAATATGGATGGAGGATATGTCTCAAAAACGAATACCGGTTGACGGAAATAACATCAAGCAAATGGCATTAAAGATTTACAACCAAATTAAAGAAGCGGAACCACAAACATCAGGCGAGAAAAGAAGAAAATTTGAATTTTCTGCTAGTACGGGATGGATGAATGGTTTTCTACAACGACACGCGTTACATAATATAAAGATAAAGGATGAAATTGCATCTGCAGATGATGTAGCAGCTAAAGAATTTCCAGCAAAACTGGCTAAAATAATTGAAAAAGGTGGTTACACTCCAGATCAGGTATGGAATGCGGACGAAACAGGCCTTTTCTGGAAGCGTATGCCAAATAGAACATACGTAGCTAAATCCCAGAAAACTGCCAGTGGGTTCAAGGCGGCCAAAGATCGCGTAACCTTTTTATTTTGCTCTAATGCGTCTGGAGATCGAATGTTAAAACCCTTGCTTGTTAATCGAGCTCTAAAACCACGGTCTATGAAAGGTGTAAATTTAGATACCTTATCAGTACACTGGACAGCTAATAAAAAAGCCTGGGTAACTAGAGAAATTTTTAATGAATGGTTTGTCAAACATTTTATCCCAGAAGTGCGTCGCTATATGAGCGATAAAAGTCTTGAATTTAAGGTTCTTCTGATTATAGATAACGCACCTGGCCACCCACACATAGAGCACCCGAATGTTGAATTTTGTTTTCTTCCTCCAAATACTACTTCCTTGATACAGCCGTTGGACCAAGGAATTATTGCAACCTTTAAGACCTATTACGTAAAGCAAACATTTCGATACATTTTAGATAAATTAACAAATAATAAAAATGTAACGGTCATTGACGCGTGGAAGAACTTTACAATAAATGACTGCATCAAACATGCTGGATTAGCACTATCCGAATTGAAACCATCAACTTTGAACGCATGTTGGAGATCTCTTTGGCCAGAATGTGTAAAAAATAAAGATCATGTGCCTTCTAATATGGATCAATACCCTAACATCACAGCCTTAGCTCATGAAATAGGCGGAGAAGGATTTGCTGATATATCGTCTGCAGATATCGATGAATTACTAGAGGATAAAGCACTTACTGATGATGAAATCATTAGTTTAGCGCTTGAGATTCCCGATGATAAAGAATGCAGTGAAATTGACGAAGAGATTCCTACCCTTACCGCAGATGTAATCAAAGAAGGACTACAACTCGCTGCTAAATTATGCGATCATTTTCAAAAGCATGATCCTATTGAAGAAAGATCTACAAAATTTCAACGAGACATTAAATTATTAATGGGCAGTTATCGTGAATTGTATAACAGCCTTATCAAACCTGGAACACAACGATCGATAACAGAATTTGTGACTAGAACCACTAACGCGGCAGCACAGCTTGAGAAGGAAAGCGCATCGAAAAGTGATAGCAATTAGAAATTAATTTTCGTTTTTTTCACTAAATAATGATTTTTTCTTTACTTTTATTTTATTATTATTTCAACTTATGAATTATTTATTATTTTTAAATAAGTTTTATTAAATAAAAGCACATTAAAGTAATCGAATTTATCTTTCTTAATCATAACATTTTAACCGATTCTTCAAATGTGGGAACCTATCCCGTATTTTTACATAAATACCGTATCTTTTTTTACGCGAATTTATTGGGAACGTATCTGTCGCGTAAAAACAGAATTAAGTGTACTATCTTCATATACTCTACTACCTCCTGTCAAAATAACAATTTGTACCTGCAAAAAGTAAACTTGTATTACAAAATTAAAAATGAATTACACAAACGCTGAAATATGCAAAACGTTTACGGAATGGCATGCGGTAATTCGGCAGAAGTAAGGCGATTGTATCAAGAAAGACATCCTGATCGCCCAGTACCACACCATAACTTGTTTCTACGCATTCACCAACAACTATGGGAAAATGGAAGTTTTAAAAGGAGTACTGCTGATAATGGGGGGCCTATGGAAGTTGCAAATCTCCAAGTAGAAGAGGTTGTCNGCGGTTGTATCAAGAAAGACATCCTGATCGCCCAGTACCACACCATAACTTGTTTCTACGCATTCACCAACAACTATGGGAAAATGGAAGTTTTAAAAGGAGTACTGCTGATAATGGGGGGCCTATGGAAGTTGCAAATCTCCAAGTAGAAGAGGTTGTCCTCAACGAAATTGATGAAAATCCGACTACAAGTACCAGAAAAATTGCTCACAACTTAAACCTATCTCACTCGATGGTTTGGAGAATTTTGAAAAGGCAACTTTTGTATCCCTACCATATGCAAAGAGTACAAGCGTTATTGCCAAGAGATTTTCCTCCAAGATTGGCTTTTTGTACAAGACAAAATAGCTCAAAATCCTGAGTTTGGAGCCGAAGTTCTGTTTAACGATGAAACATCTTTCTCGAAGGTTGATATTTTCAATTTTCACAATAACCACATATGGGCAGAAGAAAATCTACATGAAATTGCAGAAGGCCATCCTCAGCAACAATTTTCCGTAAATGTTTGGGCTGCCATCGTCGGTGATCATTTGATAGGCCCACATTTTTTACCGAACAGATTAATGGGTCCAGATTATCGACAATTTCTAGAAGAAGTATTGCTGCTTCAAGTAAGACAAAACATGTATGTAATTTATGCATGATAGAGCACCGGCCCCCTTTAGTTTGGTTGCTCGCCAATACTTGGACGACGAATACCCAGACCGTTGGATCGGTCGAGCCCGAATATTTCTATTTCTAGGCATAGTGTGAGTTCTAGTTTTACACTTGCACTGTCACTAGAACTAACATTAGATGTAGAACAAGAAACATTCGGATTTTGCCGTACGTCTGAGGATTAAACAGTTTTGTAGGGACAGAAAGGTGCATCCAAGCTAACAAGAAGAAATCATTCATTGCTACATCGTCAAATTTCTAAGGATTCTACCGTAAGTGGTGTGGCATTGGCTACAACAATCTTGAACAGGTCTTTAGTGTTCATGTTAACTTTCAACGGCATGAAATTATATTAAAAACTTGATTTTAAAAGTCGGTATATTGTTAAAAAATCATTGATAAGTATGCCAAAATAAGGATTTTTACTTCTGGAGAATGGTAATTTTCACAGATGAGACTCTATATAAAAATATCGACTGGACGAGTAAGAATTTGGTGAGAGAAAAACATCCACATAATCTGATAACTATGTTCAAGCATAGTGGAAGTTTGGTGATGATGAATTTACGTTTAATTTTATTTTATTGACTACGAAGGGGTATGAATATTTTGAAAAAGGAAAATTGAGCATTGTGCAGAAAATATATGTGATACATTGGATTCCAAACCACCGAAGAGAAAGAGAGAATACTATTAATATATGCTATATAAGTAGATTTTATGCAATCAAGATTTGAAAAGACATAAGTAGTTCTTAGAATAAACCCCAATTGGTTCAGAGCTTTCCGAAACATGTGATCTGAATGAAAAAAGCAGTTAGCGAAATTTTAAATGAGCAAAACCATTTCTCTGTAGTACTCTTAATTTTGCTGTGAAAAACGGTATAGAAAAAGATGGAATTGATTTAGGAGATACTACGCGCTAATTATAATCAGTTATTGCAAGTAATAAATAAATGCCGCGCGATTGTTTCACATTTTAAACATAACACAAAATCTTCATATGCTTTGGCCCTCATGCAGAAGCAAATGAATTTGGATGTAATCAAATTAAAGCACTCGCTGTATCAGTACCTACTTCTCATATGCTCGAACGCCTATTAAAGCTCAAGGTTCCGTTTTCTGCTACTTTACCGACACTGGTATCACCTCCACCGAATCTAGATTCTGAAGAGTAGTTATTTGCTGAAAACGTAGTGTTATCCAAGGAAAAGTATCCATCGCTATCATCTGTTATAGCATTTGTATTCGGTGTACGACATACCATAAATAGCAAAACTCCAGTGACATAAACAGGCAAGCACTTACAAAGAACTCTTACTGTTATAATAAAGACGCGACTTGGGGTTTATGAGATTAATAGAACAGTAGCAAAAGCTACTATTCTTGATCCACGATATAAATTTAGTTCAGAAAGCAACAAAGACAGTTTAAAACACAGAAGTTGTGGAAATAATAAATTTGTTTGATATTAAAATGTCAAATTTGATAGTTTAAATGTCAAAAATGCTAGAAATAAAAGAGTTCTTTATATCAAAATATGTAGAAATGTCAAATGTGACAGTTTCAATATTGAAAATACTAGATAACAAACGATTTCTTGACATTAAAATATCTACAAGTGTCAAATTTGACAGTTTAATGTCAAAAAGTCTTCTAAGTGAAATAAATCAGAAAAAATATTTGAAATTACTATCATTCTTGAGTAATTCGTGATTATCTAATATTTCCGAGAATGTTCGAATACGGAGTTTGCATACTTTATAATTTAATATTTTTGTAGTGATAAATTAAACAAACTCAATAACGATATGAAAAGTAAATTTTCCACGGTCGAAAATGCCTCTTTATCCCTCGACTTTGACAATGAAAGCTCAGTTTTAATTAAAGGAAGTGCGTTACAACCTAGTTTAATACTATTATTAAACTTATCGTTGGATTTTGTTGTGTATTTCGTCTCTGCGTGGAAAAATATACAAAGCACATTTAAATCGTTGGATGTACGAAAAGAAAAGTTGATGGAAAAGTTTGAGGAATCCTTCGATGTCGATTTGGAGAACTCTGCTGTTCATAATTTATTAGCGATTACGCAATATGTTGATAACGATAAAGGATTAAGTTAAAATACTATAATATTTATGTAATTTAATTTATAAAGGAAATAAATAATGCATAAACGAAGTAATAATTATTTATTTTGGTCCTTAATAACAATTTTAGATTAAAAAGTTATAAATCGTAGTGTTCGTGAAATGATAAATAATATAATAAAGTTTACAAAAATTTTATTACTAACAAAGCAAGGTTATGAATTAATAACCTTAAATGTTGAAATGTCAATTTGACATTTATCAAATATTAAAATATGTACAGTGATACAAGAAAGTCTACGTACAACCCGGAAAATGATAATATCTCAGCTCCCGAAATGTAATTCAATGAAATTTTTTAACAAAACATGTAAGAAGTCCATATTTTACATAAAAACTATATAAGCTATTATTAATCAAGGGGAACACAAAATATAATCATATCTTTAACGCAAAAAAGTCTACATACAGTCCTAAAAAAAGTATATCAGTGTCTGTTATAGCTCAATAAAAATACCGGAAGTTGCTTATATCTCGAGATAGATTTTGAATGACATGATGCATTTATATCATATATAGTTTTATACAGCGCTAGGCCAAGAACTAGAACTAGCATAATTTTATACTTGTTGCTCAAAATGACTGAAAACTAGTTGATAATCATTAAAAACTTGTCTAAATGTATAAGAACTAGTTTATAGCAAGTCCAAGTTGCTCAGAACGACTGAAAACTGCACCAACATTGTCCAAAATTGATTTATAAAGCAGCAAAATTGTTCAAAATGATTGGAAATAAGTTGATAGCCATCTCATGTTATTCCAAATAATTGAAAACTGGTTGAGCATAATTTTATACTTGTCCAAATCATTTACAACTAGTTTTTTAACAATTCATGTTGCTCAAAATGACTGACAGCTAGTTGATAGTCATTAAAAATTTGTCTAAATATATAAGGACTAGTTTATAGCAAGTTTAGGTTGCCCAGAATAACTGAAAACTGCACCAACATTGCCCAAAATTGTTTTATAAGGTAGCAAAATGTTTCGAAATAAGTTCATAGCTATCTCATGTTATTCAAAATCATTAAAAATTGGTTGAGCATAATTTTATACTTGTCTAAATGATTAACAACTAGTTTTTAAACAATCCATGTTGCTCAAAATGACTAAAAATTAGTTGATAGTCATTAAAAACTTGTCTAAATGTATAACGACTAGTTTATAGCAAGTCCAGATTGCTCACAACGACTGAAAACTGCACTAATATTGTCCAAAATTGGTCTATAAGGTATCAAAATTGTTCAAAATGTTTCGAAATAGGTTCATAGCCATCTCATGTTATTCAAAATAATTGATTATAGGTTGAGCATAATTTTATACTTGTCTAAATGATTAACAACTAGTTTTAGACAATCCATGTTGCTCAAAATGACTAAAGATTAGTTGATAGTCATTAAAAACTTGTCTAAATGTATAACGACTAGTTTATAGCAAGTCCAGATTGCTCACAACGACTGAAAACTGCACTAATATTGTCCAAAATTGGTCTATAAGGTATCAAAATTGTTCAAAATGTTTCGAAATAGGTTCATAGCCATCTCATGTTATTCAAAATAATTGATTATAGGTTGAGCATAATTTTATACTTGTCTAAATGATTAACAACTAGTTTTAGACAATCCATGTTGCTCAAAATGACTAAAGATTAGTTGATAGTCATTAAAAACTTGTCTAAATGTATAACGACTAGTTTATAGCAAGTCCAGATTGCTCACAACGACTGAAAACTGCACTAATATTGTCCAAAATTGGTCTATAAGGTATCAAAATTGTTCAAAATGTTTCGAAATAGGTTCATAGCCATCTCATGTTATTCAAAATCATTGAAAACTGGTTGAGCATAATTTTATACTTGTCTAAATGATTAACAACTAGTTTTTAAACAATCCATGTTGCTCAAAATGACTAAAAATTAGTTGATAATCATTAAAAACTTGTCTAAATGTATAAGGACTAGTTTATAGCAAGTCTAGGTTGCTCACAACGACTGAAAACTGCACCAACATTGTCCAAAATTTATCTATAAGGTAGCAAAATTGTTCAAAATGTTTCGAAACAGGTTCATAGCCATCTCATGTTGTTCAAAGTAATTGATAATATGTTGAGCATAATTTTATACTTGTCTAAATCATTAACAACTAGTTTTTAAACAATTCATGTTGCTCAAAATAACTGAAAACTAGTTGATAGTCATTAAAAATTTGTCTAAATGTAAAATACAATATAATAACTGAAAACTGCACCAACATTGTTCAAAATTGCTTTATAAGGTAGCAAAATTGTTCAAAATGATTGGAAATAAGTTGATACCATCTCATGTTATTCCAAATCATTGAAAACCGGTTAAGCATAATTTTATACTTGTCTAAATGATTAACAACTGATTTTTAGGCAATCCATGTTGCTGAAAATGACTAAAAATTAGTTGATAGTCATTAAAAACTTGTCTAAATGAATAGGGACTAGTTTATAGCAAGTTCAACTAGAATAATTAGGGTTTAGCAGTCTTGAGAGACTAAATCTACTGCTGTAGCCTTCACTTCGTAGCACAAAACTATTTCGACTTTGTATTAAAATAATATAGACTTCTAATATCCTTCGTTTAAAAAATTTATTAAATTACATTTCAGGAGGTGAGATATTATCATTTTTCGGGGTGTATGTAGACTTTATTGTATCTCTGTAATTTATTTTTAAATTTAAATTGACATTTTTATTGAAAGCTTAAAAATTTTAAAGTGTTTAAAAAACTCAACACAATGAAATCAAAATAATTAAAAAAAGCGAATAAATATTTTTTTTAATAAGAGGTTATGTGCTACGTTAATAGTTTAAATGTCAAAGATTTGAATACTTTTTATCATACACATACTTTTTTTTTCGTAATTATTACTTATTTTCTAAGCTAAATAGAGTGTAAAAATAATTTTAAAAATCTCAACACGATCGATTTACCTAAAAATGTTTTTATTATTATTTCGATTTTTAGATATTATACAAAAACTTTTTTTTTTTTTGGTTAAAATTGAACTCATGCACGCCGAAAATTTCAAAGATTTAAATTGTATAATTACCTTTAAAAGTGAAAAACTCTTAAAGATAATGACTAGAGCAATAACAATATTAATTAATAAATTCTTTGTTTATTTATTTTTGAAAAGCCTTTGTTAAATCATCCACTTTATGTTTAACTTTATCAAGTTCCCCATTCACCAACAATAACGGCAAAGCCTTTTCGATACTGCACGATTTCAAATATCGATTCATTTCCGTCGATTTCGATAAAGTATCAATCAACGATAAAACACCGTTAATTATATCAACGGTTAATTTTTCGTGATACTTCTCAATCATAAACACCAAATTTTTTCCCAAATCAGCTTTTACAAACATATTAAACGTTTGGCCATGCGAAAAATAATTCAACGATTTATCCGAACCTTTCGCCATCGGATCAACCACTTCAACATTCGGTTTTGATAATAAACAAAATTCACATAAAACATTCAACGCTAATAAAGCTTCGTTTTGCATTACGCCGTGTAGGGCACATAACATATCGGTTAAACATCGAATGCAATTCGGCAATGTTAAAATCATCGGAAATGCATCAACCGAGTTGCAATTTTTTATTAACCAAACTAAAAGTCTTGGGGCTTCCGCTCTAACACCGACATGATCGGAATTATAACACCAATAACCTATTTTTTCTAAAAATGGTTTTCGATTTATTAATAAACGAGCTGTTGATTCTGAAATTTAAAAAAAAATGATAGAAATCGATTAATTTATTGATTATGATATGAAATCTGTCAAAAAATATAAATACAGTGAAATTCCCCTAATTTGAACTTTTATATTTCGAATTATTTTCTAACTCGAAAAATTTTCCTAAGCTCAAGCGTTTTACCAGGTTTCAAATGTGTTCTTATCTCTGTATATTGTATTTCACTAACTTAAATTGTACTACTATGGAATTACTTCACCTTTAACTTCTATATGGCTCACTGCAAGGTGCTGAATACTTGCTAATTGAAATTAAGATCAGTGGTAGTCGCATTCTTTTGGGCACGTCTTACTGTCCACCAAATATAAATTACTTCGATCAGTTCGAGGATGTACTCGAGAGACAGACCTATAACTACGATAGTATCATCTTTATGGGTGATTACAACACATGCCTTTTGAGGGACGACTTGCGTTGTGAAAGATTTCACTTTATTACCTCCTCCCTAAATCTCTCGATTCTGCCTACTCAACCTACTCATCACCTTCCAGCGTCGGATTCCCTTTTGGACCTTATTGTGACATCTTGCCCAGATAGGATACTTTCTTATGATCAATTGCCAGCTCCGCAATTTTCTAATCACGACCTGATTTACTGCGCGCTTCAGGTCGGACGTCAACTGTACCCAAGTCGCACCATATCTACTCGTGACTACGCCCAAATCAACGAAATCAACGCCCAAGGCAACATGGTTGCCTTTATACTACATGTCAGATATTGATGCAAAAGTCGATTTTTTTAATACAGAAATGAAAAACTTATACGATCGTCATGCACCTTTAAAATTGCGAAAAACGAGGCGTTCGCCTGCTCCGTGGCTCAATAACGAGATCAGAGATCTTATGCGTAAGCGCAACGTGGCTAAGGTCCTTCTTCGCCGAAATGCTTCCAATATTAATAGAGAAAACTACCGCGTTCTACGGAACCTCTGTAACCACCGCTGCCGAAATGCCAAAAAAACTTACATTTATCAGAAGTTATCTTATACAACACCGAAAACGTTTTGGAAGACCATGCGTTCTCTTGGCGTAATTGAAACTCCTTCCTGCCATAGCTTTGATTGTAATTCTTTAGGTGCTTATTTTGCTAATTCGCCCACTACTCTCGACGAGTCAATCAAGAAGTCAACATTGCTCACTATCAGTGGTTCTGCTCTCGTCAATTCTCGGTTTTCTTTCACCATGTTTGAGGAGTCTCAGGTTCGGGACGCTCTTGCAAAAACGCGCTCTACAAGTGTCGGTGCTGACGATGTTAGTGTTAGGCAACTCCTTCCCATCTTGGACGTAATTACTCCACCATTGCTTCATATCTTTAATTTCTCCATAGAGTCTTCGACCTTTCCTACAATTTGGAAACAGGCCTGCGTTGTTCCCATTCCTAAGATTAAGTGCCCTACTCGCCTGAGTGATTTTCGGCCAATATCGATACTTTTCGTATTATCTAAGGCATTTGAACGCTTGGTGTACAATCAAGTGCAGGATTACCTTGATGAGCATAAACTATCAATCTGATTTCCGACCGGGCCACAGTACCACACTCATCAAGGTTACTGATGATATTAAGCGTAGCTGTGACGATCGACGAATAACCTTGTTAGTTTTGCTGGACTTCAGCAAAGCATTTGATCCTGTGGATCATAGCTTACTGGTGTCGTCTCTGTCTGCTATGGGCTTTGCCCCTGAGTGCGTTACTTGGTTTAGATCATACCTTTCTCAACGTTCCTTTTGTGTGCGTGACACTTCATCTTCTTCTTCTGTGTTTCAAAGTCATAGTGGTGTGCCTCAGGGAAGTGTATTGGGTCCATTACTCTTTTCAATTTTTATAAACAGTGTTACCAAATTCATTTCATGCAACTATCATTTATATGCGGATGATCTTCAAATCTATACATCAACAACTGTGAATGAGCTCCCGGTATCCATGGCGCGGCTTAATGATGATCTGTCCAGGATACTTCACTGGTCTAAATGTTTTGGCCTGAGTTTAAATATTGCCAAGACGCAAGCTATAGCATTCGGCTCAAAACCTTTACTTGCAAAATTTTACTCTTCCAATGATACGCAACTGATACTCGGTGACAATGTTATACATTTCACCAATACGGTCAAAAACTTGGGGGTGACAATGGACTCAGCGCTGTCTTGGCGGTATCAGATTCAGTCTGTTTGTAGGAAGGTCTATTTTTGTTTTCATTCTTTGCGTAAACTTGGTTGTTTTCTTCCCCTTGCTGTCCGTCGTAATCTCTGTTACTCATTAATACTGCCCCACATAGATTATGCTGATGCTGTGTATCCCGACCTGGCAATTACCCTCCGTAACAAATTAGTAAGATTGCAGAACAACTGTCTACGCTTTATTTTTGACCTGGGTAAGTACGACCATGTTACGCAATATCGTAATCACCTTCAAATGTTGACTGTCGAAAAGCGCAGATCATTCCGTATACTGACAACGTTGTATAAGATACTTTCTTCTCGGGCCCCAGGATACTTGTACACGAACTTTCAATTCATGTCGTCTCGCGGTCTGCCTACTAGAGCACAGTCTGATACGTTACTTATATTTCGGTGCAGGCTATAAAGCTTTGGAATAGTTTACCCATGGAAATACGCAACACTCATAGTTTTCTGACATTTAAGGTCTGCTTAAGGGATTATCATTACAATTATCGGAATCTAACTATTGATATCGCCTGCTTCTCTTCTCTTTTTCTTTCTCTTCCTCTCTATCAACTGTGCTCGTTGTGTTGTTTTTCCTCTTTGCTCTTTTTCTTTTTTTTGCTTAAATGTTGAATTATTTATATAGCCATATTGATTTTTTTTTACATACGTTGCTGGTTGGGTCTTTTGGAAAACATCGCCTTTGGCGATAAAGTGACCTTTTGTCAACATGCATTACTTATTCATTTATGTATACATATATATTATTTTTCTCTTGTATTAACTATGTGGCAATAAACTTATTATTATTATTATTATATGTGGATTTTTCCAAAGAAGAAACTATTTGAATCCGTTCTGTAAGGCAACTTTCTTTTATTCCAGTGATTTTATGATTGTAATTAGGGCATACAATTCCAGAATTCCGGGATCCCGACAAAATCTTGATGTATGAATTTTTTCGGGATTTTCGGTATTATCGACGTGTGCAAGAATTGAACAGCGGCGTAATAAACACCTTCTGGAGTTTTAAGATACCTTCACAACCCCAAAGATCGAGAAAATAATAATTTATTTAAAATTCCCAACAAGACTTCAATACATAAAACTATAACATCGTTGACAGCACGTCTAATACACTTTGAGAACGTCAAGAAATTGTTCAACCTCAAAAGGATGGTGATGATACTAATGATGATGTGTTGGAGTTAGAGCCAACGCCAAAGGAGGTTTGCGATAACAATGAAAGTATGTCAATTTAAGAAGAATTAAAGAAAACTCTTCAAAAAAGCATGGCTGTATGCACCAATATAGACATTAAAGCAACCAACATAATTAAAGATGAGTTAGCCATTTTTGAAAGAGGAGGTAGCCGTGGAAGATATCTACAGTTGGTCTACCAATTTCTCATGTCTATTACTCTCACCAGCGTTGAATCGGAGAGAGCATTTTCCGTGCACAAAATTTAGATCTTCTCTTTCTGATACAACAATTGACAATCTTGCAATTATGAGTGCATTTTTTTAAAGCAAAAAAGAACATGAATTAAGTGTAATTTGATTTGTATTTTCGTGTTCTGTTAATTAGGTGTAGATTGCAGTTTTCTTTTTATGAATAAATAGTTTTGTTGTTGTCAGTATTTACAACTGTATTGTTTTCGAATAAGTAATAAATTGTAGTAAAAATTGCAGTTATACTTATTTTTTAAATCCCGGGACCCCAGGATTCGAGAAAATTCAATCCCAAAATCCCGGGATTTTGATTTTGCTACAGGATTGTATAAAAATTGAAATTAACACCAGATGTAGAACTAGGAACGTTCGGGTTTAGCCTTAAAAGATGCAGGGCTAAACCCAAACGTTCCTAGTTCTAGGTCTAGTGTTAGTTCTAGTGATATTGCTAGTGTTAATTTTAGTTATGGTTCTATGTAACACCTTAGTGCTGAATAACAATTAGATCTAACACTAGATCTAGAACTAGAACCGTTCGGGTTTAGCAGTCTTAAGAGACGCAGGGTTAAACCCGAATGATTCTAGTTCTAGGTATAGTGTTAGTTCTACATAGTAGCAGTGCTAGTGTAAAACTAGTTCTAGATCAAGTGTTAGTTCCAGTTTTAGTTCAATAACAATACACAATCTAGGGCTGTGTAGTGCCAACTAGCGCTACTTAGAACTGTCACTAGAACTACCACTAGACCTAAAATTAAAAACATTCGAGCTTCGTCTTTAAAGACGGCTAAACCCGAATGATTCTAGTTCTAGATATAGTGTTAGTTCTACATAGTAGCAGTGCTAGTGTAAAACTAGAACTAACACTAGAACTAGAAACATTCAACTAGAACTAGAAGCAGTTTACCAGTGCATCCTCAGACGCACGGCTAAACCCGAATCTTTCTAGTTCTGGATCTAGTGATAGTTCTAGTTTTAGTTCAATAACAATACATAACCTAGGGCTGTCTAATGTCAACTAGCGCTACTTAGAACTGTCACTAGAACTAACTCTAGACCTAAAACTAGAAACATTCGGGCTTAGCCGCACGTCTTTAAAAACGGCTAAATCCGAATGATTCTAGTTCTAGGTATAGTGTTAGCTATACATAGTAACAGAGCTAGTATAGCACTAGAACTAACACTAGACCTAGAACTAGAAACATTCGGGCTTAGCCGCACATCATTGAAGACCCTTTAAAACCATTAAAACCCAATTGATTCCAGTTCTAGGTCTAGTATTAGTTCTACATAATAACTGTTATACACTAGTAATATTACTTAACCGGACGAGATTTTGTAGTCGGCGAAAGTGTTGAATAATCGACTCAAAAGTTACAGACTGCTCTAAACCAAATTGACGCATGAACTAAAGTCTGGCGAGAAAAGACACCTTGGCAAAACGGTGGATGCGAAGCTTGGGTGGAAAATACACGTCTAAACACAACTAAACCTCAAATATCGTAAAATTTAATTAGTTACTGGACCGAGGAGCCCTGTCGGTTAAAAAAAACTGCGTAGATACAAGCAAATTTTGGTACCTGTGCGGACCAGCTTTTTGATAACAGTGAGTTAGTGCGCCGACTTAAAAAAGCAAAACATTATGGCATAGTGAAGTAACTAAAAACCAAAGTTTTTCGGTTTCATTCACATGATTTTGATTTCACCTAACATATTTGAATATGCATAAAAGAGATTAGACAGAGAAAAGGTAAACTGGTTGTTGAAGAAAGAAACTAAACAGATACTGGAAAGAAAAAAAGAGACTGGACAGAGAAGGGAAATTGAAATAAGACTATAAATCCAAAGACAGAGAAGAATGCGGGAAGGAGACCATTAATAGAAAACTGACACAGACTAGTAATAGAAAGACTAGATTTCAGATAAACTGGAAAGAGAAAATGAGAAAGCTAGAAAACAAGAAATAGATCGCTAAACAAACAAGGACAAGACAGAAAAGAGTGGGAAGACTGGATAATAGAACAAATAGACCAAACAGAGACTAGAAAAGGGAAAAAAATATGTGTAAATGCAAGAAAGGACTTGACGCAGAAGTGAGATGATGGCAATAAAGATTAAAAAAAAGAATCTGTGTTGACAGCAGAGAGGCTGGGAAGAGAGAAATCAGGTATTAGACAGTGAAGAAGGAGAATGAAAGGAGACAAGTAATAGAAAATAGAAATCTGACAGGCACTGGAAAAACAAGTAGGCGAAAAGTCTTTCTTTCAGTCTTTCTTAGCTGCACGTCTTTAAACATGGCTAAACCCGAAACTTTCTAGTTCTAGGTCTAGTGTTAGTTCTAGTTTTAGTTCAATAGCAATACATAACCTAGCAGAGTTGGGTAATTCCTAGCTAAAAAGTAATTTAATAATTACAATTACTTTTTTTTCGTGTACTTTTTTGTAACTGTATTTAAGTAGTTTTTTATTGAAGTAATTTGGAATTGTAATTACCGCAAAATCTGTGTTTGAATTGTAAATTGTAAGTATATTATCCAAATTATCTAATTACTCCGCCATAATAGGGCGTGATTTGATCAAATTTTTAGTCATAACAAAAAAAACCGCTATAAAAAGCTATAAATAAAAAGGTTGGACGATCTATTTATTGATCATATGATTGACACAAAAAAAGAAAGAAGAAAACCAAAACTCATTCTTATTTCCAACATATTTTAAATTTTTCCATCATTTTGTAATTATTTCAAGTACTGAAGATGAAACATTTGTTTCGAAACATGTTTACTTTTTGAAATAAATTAAGTTAAAGTATATTTCTTAAATTAAGTTAAAGTTTTTACTTTTTCCTATTTTTATTATTTAATTTGTGAGAAATATAGAGATTTTCATCCCTTTGAGTTTACATATTAAAAATTTTAATTAAGTAATTTTCTTATTCAAAAAGTAATTAGGAGAGTAATTAATAATTCCATTTTCTTTGTACTTGTAATTAAATATACATATGCATATACAAATGCATATAATTCCTTGTTCTAACATATATACTTTGTAATTAATTCCTTTTTTGAAGAAGTACTTTGTAATTGTAATTATTTTTAAAGTACATATAATTACCCAGCTCTGCAAACTAGGGCTATCTAGTGCTAACGTCTCTAGAGACGCCTAAACCCGAATAATTCTAGTTCTAGGTATAGTGTTAATTCTAGTAATAGTACTAGTATAAAACTAGAACCAACACTAGACCTAGAACTGGAAACATTCGGGCTTAGCTGCACGTCTTTAAAGACAGCTAAACCCGAATGATTCTAGTTATAGATCTAGTATTAGTTCTAGTTTTAATTGTAATTCAGCGATAGATTAGTTTACTTTTCTTCCGCTCCCTTAGCGATTCAAGTTAGAGGAATTTCACTGTATAACATAAAAATATAATCACCTTGTCCATTAACTAACATTCTAAATGTTCCCATTAATTTAAAAACAACTGGTGAAGTTTCGATGTCGATCATTTCGTACATAATTTCGATTATATTCTCTTGAATTAATTTAAATTTATTTTGCGGAGGAATGCTTAAATGGCGCAACGTGCTCAAAAGCGCGTGTTGTATCTTAATGTCTGCGTCCTTTTTGTTATTTTTTGCTAAAAGAGCTAATAATTTCGGTTAGATTTAATCTTAATTAATTTAATAGTTACCAATTAATTTTCGAAATAATTCCCCTTCCACCATACTAATACAATGAGCGTCACTTCGAGCGAAATTTCCGATTGCCAAAACAGCCGTGCTTACTAAATCGGGATCTGAAGAATCCATCCACGTTATCATTTGCTCGTAAACTATTCCGTTTCCGTTATCGTACAACAAATTCATTGCTTCATCTTAAAATAAAAATTATTTATTTTATTTAATAATAACACTGTGCTGCAAACTTTAACTTTTTTTTTATGTAAAGTAGATCAGTTGGGTGTTTTTAATATGCCTTCCATTTTTATATGGTTTTATAGGGCAACTGTAGATGCAATGAATTTGATATTTGGCACCTTGATAAAAGGTGAAGAGATCTACCTTTTAGTGGTACTGTCATCGTGTAAAGTAAGTTGCTGAAATAATGATACCAAAACCTGGTAAACCCCTGGAATCAGCGAGCAAACGATTCAAACGCGAGCAATAATGCGGAGTTATAACAAAAACAACAATAACCTAAATGTGCGTTTAAAACGGTAAAAATATGACAATATTTATCTATATTATGTGTAAAGCAGACTGAATACCAGAAAATTATTCTCCTTTCAAAATTACGGCGGATTTAATGAATTTTGAAGAAATTGTAGAAGCCAAGCGTTCGCCCCATGGATCATACGTAACGAGATTTATCCAACCGCGCAAGACACTTATTCTAGAGCAATAGTAATTAAAGGACTAGCTGCAGTACAGACTGTACGTCACATCACATCCTGCAATTTGGAAATTTTAAAAAAGACGTGTTTTAAAATAATGCATTTAAACGTTCAATCGTTGGCCAACAAACCTGCAGCAGTTGGAAGGTTACTTAGTGATCACAACATCGATATCATATACCTTAGTGGCTTAACACTGGCTGAAAAATGAAAACATAGATCTTTATCAATTTCTTAATCACACGCAATCTGCTAGATTGATCAGACAGCAATTATTACATGGTGGAATTCCTATTTACACTAAAAAAAGAATACAAATCCTGAATATCACAAATATTTTATAAAAGAATTTATAAACATTGAGAAATATTGGGTTGCCACTTGCCTTTGTTGAATATAAGTCGTAATCAGGAAATTTTAACCTATTTATAAATTTCCACGAGCGGAAAAGTTTCGGGAGTTGCGACCAGAGTAGAAAACAAATTGGGCCAAAAAGTTCCTTACGTCCTGCAGATACAGCTTTACAAGCCCGGAGCGCAAGATTAAAAGACGCCATAAAAATCATAAAGTGTGTAATATGAAATAACGAAACTGAGATCAGATGATAGGTATCAAATTTTGGGAGGAGCTAAGTCTATGACAAGCGGCGATTCTAAAAATAGGACCCAGACCCAGAAGAGGCAAGTCAAAAACTCTAATGTAACTTTCTGTTCCTGCGCGAGACAAAATATAGAAGATCAGAACGATCAGCGATTTAAATCTGAGTATTTTGAAACGTTACACATACTAATTACAAAGTAGATTTTCGGACAACGACGATTTATTAAATTCATTAGCGAGTCTTCATGAGTTGGATGTAGACAAAATTGTAAATCTAGGTAAGTGTGAGAAAATTAAACAAAACTATGTTGCTACTATTGATAATTTATGTCCAATTCACAATTTTACCTAATTTTCAGGTCTAACAATTCCATCAAGGGAAGAAGCTGCTGTGGTTAAAGCTTATGTGAGGCGTCGCGAGGATAGAACGGAAAACACAATACAAGTTTTGTACAGGCAGCAAAAGGCCTTCAAAGATACTTAACTGAACTGTTTGCATCTGTTGCGACCACAGAATGCCGCACTGCTGTGTGCAAATTTACATTTTCAACTTTGACTACAATCAATAGGCCTCAGAGGCTGTCAATGGGTCATGAAAGAAAAGCAGGAATGGTATTTCTTGCTTTTGAAAAGAAAGGAACAAAGTCAGTTGATCTCAATGAAGTCCTTCGCATTTTTAACAATATGGCGAATCGAAAAATTCAGCTGTTTTAAGGAAAGACTTTTATTATTATAGTGATTATAATATATTTAGAGAATTAATATAAACCTGAATAAATGAATCTTTTGCTATTATCTACCTATCACCCTCCCAGAAATTAAGTACTACCTCACTCACTTAGTCATATTCACAAGTACAATGAAAATCGATTTACCAGATCAGACCAAGTACCCTACTTTAAGTTCAACTCTAGCTACGGCCCTGTGGTCCTCAGAATTGGCCAGCCAGATCTTCGAAATTAAATTCATTAGATTTCTGTCTTTGGGGTTTTCTTAAAAACCTGGTTTATTCAACTCCTGTTGTAAATATCAATAATTTACGGAATCATATCATCGCATCCTGTGAAACTATTAGGAATACACCAGGAATATTTGAAATACGAAATTGAATGAGGCGAAGGGTAGAAACGTGCGTCGCGGCATTTTCAACATTTATTATGATTATTAATATTTTGTTAACGTTGTTATTATTTGTTTTTGTAGCTTTGTTAATTGTTATTGCTAGTGTCTGTGTATTATTTATTTTAATTCTTAATTAATTAACTATTAACTAAATGAATTAATTAATTTAATAATTTTGGAAGAAACTGTTCTTAATATTTAAAAATTTGTCATTATGACATCAGCCTACTTGATATTTTTACATAAATAATAACCATATTGTGAATTTGTGTCAAATAGGTCTCTGAGTACTATTTTATTTTTTTATGGACAAACTAACAAATTTAGGAGAAAATGTTGAGAGACAAAAAAGTTGCATATTGAATCACTCTATTTAAATTAATTTTTTAAATAGAAAAACGTAGACGCAATAAAAAGTTCTGATGTGAAGTATCATAGGGGTGGACTTTTTTCACCCCCTTATAAAAACATATTAGGGTTATAAAAATCGTCAAAAAACGTCACCTTATTAGTAATAGTTATCTGCCAAATTTCATCCTTCCAAATTCCTCCATAATGGATTTATTAAAGAAAAACAATTTTAGAGGGCTGTAACTTGGAGGAGAAGTGGTTTTGACCAAAAAGTTATATGAAAAACTCCCCTTAATTTTCGCAGAAAAATCACCCCTTAAAATCTTTCACATCAATTTAGATACACCTGTATATATGAGAGGTTGTTGGAAATTAAAAAGAAAGAGGCCTAACTAGATAAGGTTGAAGATGTACATATGTATAGCACCAGACACTGCCAGTTACTGCATATTCCAAAAAGTAATACAATAAGTTACCAGTACCAATACAAAGTTTGCTGTATTCATTTACAAAAAAACCAAAAATCATCTTAAGAAGTACACCTTCTATAGTATCTCAGAGTATTACTGTTATTTTCTCTTTTGACATATTTAAGAAATTAATTAATTCTGTAGTTAACTTTATGGAATGAATAAATTTACTTTACCCCAAAAAGGTAGATCTCTTCACCTTATATCAATGTGCCAAATATCAAATTCATCATATTTACAGTCGCCCTATAAAATCCTATGTCCAGCAGCAGTGAGACACCTAAATAACAAAAAAACGTGACATGTTACAGCAAAATGGAAGGCATATTTGAAATCAGCAAACCAAAATTAACCAAAAACACTCAACTCATCAACTGTACAAAAATCTTGCAAGACAGTGTAATTTAAATTAAAAATTTTACCCCCAGTTAATATTAATACGATTAAATCACAAGCGATTTTTAAAGCTGCTCTACTTTCTTCATCATTAACTTCATTTCCATATCGCTCTACTAAATTATATATTAATTCGCAAGTTCCATTAATAGCTAAACAAGTTTTTAAGTCATCTTAAAAAGATTTAAATTAATTAAAAAGGTACATTAAAAAAATCATTCTTACCATTTTCAGATTGTTGCCTCAAAATACCTAAACACAATACTGAAATTTCCGGGTTCTCAGAAACCTTTAAAATGTTAACCAATAAAACACACAAATTAGTGGTAATCCATTCGTCGACCATATGATCCGTAACATAACTAATTATATGAACTATATAAGAAATACAGTCTTCGTACTTCAAAAATTGCCCTGAGATAAATTGTAATACTTTTTCTGATACAGTTAAAACGTCCGCTTGATATAAACACTTTTGTAATTCATCTTCACCCATAATTATGTTTAATAAACACCCAAATATTGCAGTTAATAAAGCTAAATCGTCCGTTGGAGTCCAAGCCAACACGATTTCTTTAAGTTCTTCAAAAACGCTTTTTAATCCTTCAACTCCAATAATACTTCGAGCCTGATCATTTTCATAGGTAATATTTCCAAGTGCACGAACGAAATGGAAAATATTTGTTGAATTTAAAGTGGAACATTTTTTTATTAAATGCATTATAAGGACTTCGTCTGTAAAAGCTTTACGATTTTGATCTTCTTTAGCCAATTCGGCTATGCATTGAAACGTAAGTTCGATAATTTCGGGATCTTGCATTGAAAGGAGAGCTACGAAAGCGCTTGGTCCTTTTAATTCGAATGTTATAGTTTCGTTTATGATTTTGGTTAGGGCCGACTTAATCACCGCCTTATTTTTTGCGGTTATAGCTTCGTTTAGTTCTTGTAATAAGTCCATAATTGCAGGAAAAACTTTTATTTGATCCTAAAATATTGTTGAAATAGGTTGGGTTTACGTTTAATCCAAAAACTTACGTGGTGATAAAACGGGCTTGGGAATGTTTGTTTGTGGTTTATTTACTGAAATTTGGCAATTAAATTGCGTTTTAGTTCATATATTATCTAAAAATCGGTGTATTTAAAAAATTGCTGTCATTACTTTTCCGCTGATTGTTTACAGTGATCAAGACGGCAACTTAATTTTTTGATAATAAAAAAAAACTGTAGATTTGTTTTAATTTATTTATTGAAGAATATAAATTTAGAATGATAAATGTTTATTAAATTTTAAAATATAAAGATTTTTATTAATTTAATGTTTTATTAATAAATTAAAATTTGTATCGAAATTTTTTTATTCGATACTTTGAAATCTGACAGATTTGTTAATAAAAAAAATCTCTAAATAGTAATCAATGTAACCGGTTTATTTAAAAATTATATATTTCTTTAATAATATCGAATCAATTTAATTTTCAGCCTAATTAATTTTTTAATAATTATTCATATCAATCAAATATTAATGTTTATCATATACTGTAATATAACTGTTAACTGTCATTAGAACTAACACTAGATCTAATTGTAAAACCTAGAATAAACCCAATATTTGTGGTTCTATATCTAATGTTAATTCTAGAGACAATGCTAGTGTAAAACCAGAACTAACACAATATCCAAGATCCGTTGAGTATTGGTTATAAGGTTATCCAACATGAACAAATTGACGTTGACGGGGTGAGGTAGGAAACGTGACGTCATTGGAGGAAAAGTATAATATAATATACAGGTGCTCATTATGTATGGAATACAGTATACAGCATGTCCCGTATCTTCCGCATCAGAGCATTATACGGTTGTAGAATACATTATTCTGAAGCGATCTTTCTAATAAAATTTTGTCGAAATGTTTATAATAACCGCATGGGAACCCACGTCTCTAAAAACGGCTAAACCCAAATGATTCTAGTTCAAGGCATAGTGTTAGTTCTAGTTTTACACTAGCAATGTTACTATCTAAAATTAACACCATACCTAAAACTAGAATCATAAAAAAAATAAATTTCAATGAAATTTTTTTGTTTTTTTATGGTTGGCAATAAATAATTTGACGTTTACTGAAAAAATAAGTCAATAAAAACAAAACGTTGCGTTAAAATGGCGGATAATAACGAATAAAATTAATTTGACGTTTACAAAGTGAGGTTAGGTTTTATCTTTGTGCATAATTACGTGGGAAATTAAAAATCTTTTAATTTGAGTGTAAACACGACCCAATTATCTTAAAAAACACGCGAGATATCCCACATTTAATTTTGACATAACCTCAAAAAAGTGACAACCGGAAGTTTGTTGTCTTTTAAGATAACTCGACCGAGGTTGGGCTCATTTTAAAGAGAATTTAATATAGATTACGAATATAACGTTGGTTTAATTAAATTCTGTCAAAATAAAAACAAAATGGCGGATAATTCAATGAAAAATAATACGATTTGAACGAAATTAAGTTCGCTGGGGGCTTTTAAGTAAAAATATAGAATTTCGTCATTATTTAATTAAAATTATTAATCAAGATGGCGGAAAATATCAAATAATATTAATTTCACGTTTATAAAGTGAGGTTAGGTTTTTTATTTATTCACGATCGTGTGGGGAATTAAAAATGCTTCAAATTGAGTCCAAATTCGACGCGATTATCTCAAGAAACATCCCACATTTAATTTTGACATAACCTCAAAAAAGTGACAATCAGAAGTTTGTTATCTTTTAAGATAACCCCATCGAGTTTGGGCTCGTTTTAAAGAGAATTTAATATAGATTACGAATACGATGTTGGTTTAATTAAATTCTGTCAAAATAAAAACAAAATGGCGGATAATTCAATGAAAAATAATACGATTTGAACGAAATTAAGTTCGTGGGGAACTTTTAAGTAAAAATATAGAATTTCGTCATTATTTAATTAAAATTATTAATCAAGATGGCGAAAAATATCAAATAATATTAATTTCACGTTTATAAAGTGAGGTTAGGTTTTTTATTTATTCACGATCGTGTGGGGAATTAAAAATGCTTCAAATTGAGTCCAAATTCGATTCGATTATCTCAAGAAACACCCGCGATATCCCACATTTAATTTTGACATAACCTCAAAAAAGTGACAATCAGAAGTTTGTTATCTTTTAAGATAACCCCATCGAGTTTGGGCTCGTTTTAAAGAGAATTTAATGTAGATCACGAAAACGATGTTGGATTAATAAAATTCGATAATAATAAGAAAAAAATGGTGGATTATAAAGAAAAAATCATTCGATCTTAACAAAATAAGTTTTTTAGAAGTTTAATTAAGCTTTTAGATCTAAAAATACAATTTTTCGTTATTATTTATAAGATATCACTATGTTGCATATTTTTATTGAATTAAAACTAGAATTAACACTAGATCTAGAACTAGAATCATTTGGGTTTAGCCGTACGTCTCTAAAGACGGCTAAACCCGAATGATTCTAGTCCTAGGTATAGTGTTAGTTCTAATTTTACACTATTTCTAGTGATAGTGTAAAATTAGAACTAACACTATACCTAGAACTAGAATCAATTGGGTTTAGCCGTCTTAAGGCCCCTCACTTTAGAGATCGATATCTTCGTAACCGCTCGATGGAAAAAATTGCTGTAAAGTTTATTGTAATCAGTGAACATTTCTGCGTATCACATGTTAATTTGGAAATTTTCGGGTCCGCTGTTTTTCTTTTATCGCGAGTTAAGTGAAAAAAGTACCCGATTTTTGAGAGTGCCAGCAACTTTATCTACTATGCGATTTTTTTTCTCCAAAACTATTTGACGAAACAATTTCAAATTTGAACTCGTGGTAAACCGATGTGTTCTTAATGTGGGGCGTGTTTTATTTTTTCGATATTCCATATAGTTTCGCGGAAAATCGCGGTTTAGTAGGATGCGGTTATTTCGAAAACGACCTGTCGAATTCTGTTATCAGTTTTTCAAAATTAATTAATATTTTAATTCAATGGAATTACAAATTAAAGAGAAACAGAAATAAGCTATGCGGGGAGAGGAGGGTTCCGTCCAATAGGAACAGATGGTGCGTCCCAGACAGTACGTCGCGCCTTTATTTTACCTACATAAAGAAATACGGCGCGACGTCCTGTCTGGGAAGCACCATCTGTTCCGATTGGACGGAACCCCGTCACCCCACTGAGCTTATTTCTGTTTCTCTTTAATTTGTAATTCCATTAAATCGCTCTTAAAAAATTAAAATATTAATTAATTTTGAAAAACTGATAACGGAATCCGACAATCGACATCATTTGACATATTTTGGTCAAATCCGCGAGGAAATCCACCCACCCGTTTTTGACATAACGGCGTCTTACTAAACCGCGATTATCCGCGAAACTATATGGAATATCGAAAAAATAAAATATGTTACTCGTTAAGAACACATCAGGCTACCACCTGTTTAAAATTCAAATTTTTTCGTACGATAGTTTTCGAGAAAAAAAACCGCAAAGTTGACAAAGTTGCCGGTACCGTAAAAAATCGGGTACTTTTTTCATTTAACTCGAGATAAAAAGAAATCCGAAAATGTTCAAATTAACATATGTTACGTAGAAATGTTCAGTGATTATAACAAACTATGTCGCAATTTTTTTTATAGAGCGGTTGCGAAGATATCGATCTTTAAAGTGTTAGTTTTAATCATTATTCAGCTTTAAGCATTATTCAGTTATAGTTTTACACTTGCACTTTTGGAATAAGTTTTAATCTAAATAGGTTGAAATAATAACAATATAAGTTAAATTATTAAATAGGTAAAAACAACTTAATTAATAAAAAAACTTAAAATTTATTTGTTACAAATTTTATTGAAATCAACAACATCAAACCTAAACTATTTTTGCTATGGTTTATAACAAGATATAATTCTACCTAAAACTCCAATATTAGCAGAAAAGAACGCAACACTTTGAATCCAAATAAAAATAAACGTGTTTTTTCCTTGAAACTCCAAAAGATAAGCCGGATACAACCAAGCTAATTGAGCCACAATCCAAATTAAAACCAATACTGTTGATGTGAATTTATTAATTTTAATTTGCCACAAACACAGAGGCAAAATAACCATTAACCACATAAAATATTGCGATGTAAGAACCGTGTTGTAAGTAATCATAACAAAAGTGATTGAAAACAACGAAAAACACAAAGAGGATTTATTTAAGCCATAACGAATCGATAAAACGGTTATTAACAGATATTGTGGCAAAACGGTAAGAATTCTTTGCCAAATATTGACGATTTTTAAATCGGCCGATAAATATTGGAGATAAAAATATAAAGAAAAATTATGGCGGGTGTCTTTTCGAATGAAATGATAAATGTAGGTTTCATATAAAAATTGGTACCCATAAAGGAAATAAAAGAAAGTTGTTAACGAAATTAATGCGAGTAAAGTTCCAAAAATTAATTTTAACTGTTTAAAATTAGGAATTAAGTATTTAATATAAACAATTTTAGTCGGTTTCAAATTAGTTTTCGAATTTTGATTCATAAAATAAGCAAGGCTATACATTAAGGGGTACAAACGAAAATGAATAACAAAGCCATGAATTAATCCGGCTAAAAATTGTGAGTCACATTGCAACAAATAAATTGTTAATAAAACGAAAATTGATGAAATTGCATCGCAATTACCTCGCGTTGATATTATAAAAACAGAGGGGTTATACAACCAAAAAAATGAACTAATTTTCGCTTTAACCTCTAAATCATTTTTATCATGATTAACCAAACTATTTAATTTAACAATTTTATAAATTAAATACCCCGCGATTACATCAAACAAAGAAAAGAACCATTTCCCAAACGATTGATGAATCAAAACATTAGGAACCATCAAAAAAGCCAAAATTGGGCTATACCGATAAGTATCCCTTTTATACGGAGAATCCCCTTCGATTACACATCGAGCCCCATCCGAAAAAACTTTATAATCAACATCCGTATAAGAAACTTTAAAATAATCATCATGAAAATCCCCATAAATTATTAAAACCCCCCTCAAAATAAACCCAATAATTAAATGACCCCAAATCTCTAATCCAACGAATTTCTTAAACATTTTTAAATCTTCGTTTTCAATTTAGCAGCACTCTTTTGTAAACAATTCTTAAACAGTTTAAATTCAGTCGCGCAATCGTTCATTTCAATCGAACTTTTCTTTAAAACGCACTTTGCGTAATTTCCCGCTTCCGTTTTACAACCGGCCAATATAAAAGGATATTGACGAAATCGGTGACGTGCTTTTTGAACGGACTCCATTTAATCCCTAAAACGAGATTTATGCGTCGCAAGTAACTCCTCTAAACTGGGGCGTTCCTCCTTACTGATGAAAAAGTCGTAAATCGGACGCGAAAACAACACGGATAATGCGCAAGTTGTTAATATTCCGATAAATAATCTCGGGTTACGTTGTGACCACTTTAAACTCTTTTTTTGTTGCCTGTAATAATTCATTCCGGCTTTTTCTTGTCGGAATTAACTTTGAAACCTTCGCAAACGAAACTTCGGTCACCCCAACGGCGACAACAATCTATCATATCTTGAATTACGTCTTTACAAGAATCTTCTTTATAATTGCGATCTAAACGAATTTATTTTAATTATTTTGAGGTTATGTTATTATATTGAATAATTACCGTTTAAACAATCTTGTATTTTACAAGCGTAAGCTTTACAAGGATCTTTCTTTTTCATGAATTTAAACTAAAAATACTTTAAATGTGATGTAACGTGTTATGAAAAAGGTTAAATTATTACAAATTAGAATAGAAACTCTATTACAAAATCATCTGTCAAAAGAACGTCAAAAGTGTCAAAAATTAAATTTTAGTTTATTTTAAAAATTAATATTTTATTGATTCGATTTATTATTAAACGATTAATTAAGCTAAAAATTAAATTGATTCGATTTTTTTTAAAGAAATATATATTTTTTTTAAATAAACCGGTTGTATTGATTAC